GTGTGAACCATATTTTCTATTTTCAAAGGGGTTTAGACAGATGCATTTGGAACTTCATTGGATGTATTTAAGCCTAAAAACTTGCTATTTATCATAATGTCCAAAATAAAAATTTTGTAAATAAGATGAATAATAACAGTATCTTGTTTTTCTTCTAAAGTTCTTCTTTTTGGTTTGACATATTCAAAATTAATTTAAATTAAAAGTTGGGGGGGGGACACCTGGGTGGCTCAGTCAGTTAAGCGTCCAACTCTTGATTTTGGCTCAGGTCTCGATCTCAGGGTGGTGAGTTCAAGCCCCACATTGGGCTCTGCGCTGAGTGTGGAGCCTACTTAAAAAAATAAAATAAAATAAAATTTGAAAAAAGGAAGGGGAATACATGAAACAAAAAATTATTTTTAAATGGTTGATAGGCCTAAATGTAAAAGCTAAAACTATAAAAAATATCTATAAAACTTTTAGAAGAAGACATAGATGAAAATAGATAAAAGAAGACATAGACACATAGATGTAAATCTTTGTGCTTTGGGGTTAGGCAAAGTCATGTTAGATGTGACAACAAAAGTACAAGTGACAAAAGAAAAATGGATAAATTGGACTTCACCACAAAAGACCACATCGAATTAAAAGCTTTTATGCTGTAAAGGTTACTGCCAAGAAAGTGAAAAGTCAGCCCACAAAATGGGATAAAACATTTACAAATCATATAACTGATAAGGCACTTGAAATCTAGAATATACGAAGAATTCTTATAACTTGATAATGAAAAGATAAGTATACCAGATAGAACCTAAATAGATTTTCTCCAAAGAAGATACAAAAACGGCCAATAAGCACATGAAGAGATGGTCAACATCGTTAGCCATTAGGGAAATACAAATCAAAGCTCCAGTGAAATAGCACCTCACACTCACTAGGATGGCTACAGTCAAAAAGACAGACAAAGCAAGCATTTGTGAGGATGTGGAGACATTAGAACCCTCATAATTGCTGGTGGGATTGTAACATGATGCAACCTCTTTGGAAAACAGTTTGGATCCTCAAAATGTTAAACATAAAGTTACCATATAATCCAGCAACTCCATTCCTAGATATATATACAAGAGAAATGAAAACATGTCCTCACAAGCCCTGTAAGCAAATATTCACAACAACATTACTTATAATAGTCCCAAAACAGAAATGGTTCAAATGTTCATCAACTGGGAAATGAATGATTAAAATGTAGTCTATCTGTATAATGGAATATTATTCAGTCAAAATAAAGTACTAATACATACTACAATATGAGTGAACCCAGAAAACATGCTAAGTGAAAGAAGCCAGTCACAAGAGACCACATGTTATATAATTCCTATATAAGATGTCCAGAATAGGTAAATCTGAGACAGAAAGTAGATTAGTGGTTGCCTAGGGCTGCGGGTGGAGGGAATGGGAAGTGATTGTTAATTGGTATTGTTTTCTTTTGGGGGTGATAAAAATGTTCTAAAATCAGCTAGTAGTGATAGTTGCATAACTCTGTGAGTATACCAAAAACCTTTGAATAGAACCCTTTAGACGGGTGGATTATATACGGCGTATGAATTATATCTCAGTAAATCTTTTTTTTTTAAGAGTACAATGCAGGGGAATAAAAGGAAGGGAAGTTTAAAATTAAGAGGATCAAACTTCAAAGTAAGTTTTGAGGTGGCAAAATAGAGAGTGTAATATTTCTATTTTTAGCTTTGATATTCTAACTTTAGCAAGAGCATAGACTTGCAATTTTATACTTAGCATTGCATTCTCAGACACAGAGGATTTGCCCTTTTCTCCACAAGTACCATCTTTATTGCTTTTGTTTTAAAAATGCATAATGTATTTAGAGTGCACTAAAAATTAGAGCCTTTTATTTACATTTATGTGTTGCCTATATCTAGTGCCCCCAAAGTGTTATAATAATAGTTTTACTTTGCTAAAATGTAATAGCAATATAAAGATGAAAGACTTTGTTCCCTCTGCCATGTCCCTCACAAGTGTAATAGGTGGGTGCCCAGGCTGTGAGATCAGACTTCCTGAACTGTTCCAGGCAAGGTGAACTTGGGAGAGGCAGTTAACCTCAGTTTCCCTATATGTAAAAGGGAGGTAGAGGTCATGATACTATTTACTTCATAATGTTGTTCTGAGAATTAAAGGAAATAATGCATGTGAGGAACTTAGCACAAGATGTCAAGAGCATCGTAAATGCTCCAATTACAGTAGTTGTAAGCAATTATTATTTTAACAACAGTGATAAGTGATTGAGATTATTAAGAAATGGGTAGAAACAAGTTGTAATGTGGTTGAGAACTGAGTATTAAAATCCTTACAGCGAGGACTGGAAGGATGTATAATATTCTTATTCTCAGTTTCGTTAACATTAGGTAACTGCATTCAACATTTAAACAAGATATTTGGGTAGTTTTCAGGATTTATCGCTAGAAAACTCTTTAGAGAGCTTGCTAAAGATAAAGCTTTGAAGTTGCATGAATATTTTTCAAAGAACAATATGTGATTCAAGCATTGCTACAGAGTCCTGATATTTTAGGCTACGTTGCTGATCAGTGGTGTCTTATCACTTGTCACTTTACAACTCAAGCCTTTGAGTAACAGATTTGCCAAAAAGTCTCCTTTCCTCCTCCCTTGAGGTTTATTCAGCCAATATTTTTCTCTATGGAGAGCAGCAGGAACTTCTAACTATTTTCAAGGACTATTTTAACTTCTTAGGAGAAGGAAACATTAGTGAAAATAATTACTTATAAAATAATAACTAATTGTGAGGTGTGAAAGAATTGCCGTTTTGAGATTTGTTTGTATACTTTAAAAGTGGGCTTTAAAACCTTCTGAGATTAACCAAAATTCCAGGAGAGAAGAAAGGGAGAGAAGGAAGTTGAAAGTACTTAGAAATTTCTCCCCTTTTCCTCAAATGTTTATTCTTATTTTTATGTTAGTAGGTAAAATTCTCTAAGGAGCATAAGTAAACCTCAGAAACTCATAGCCACACAATTCCCCTCTGTGTAGCTTATCTGTAAATATTCTTATTGTAATAAAACTTGGTGGTCATAAAGATCTGTTTGAGGAAACAGAGGATCTGTACATAAGGTAAAAATTACTAAGGATAGGCCTACCCCACGCCCCAGTTAGTGTCTCTTTGTACTTCATTTTCCTCACCTTAAAAGGGGAATACATGAACTTTCTCATAGAGTTGATAAAAGGATGAAATGGAATCAAACATGTAAAGTGCACCAAGTGCATAGTAAAATGTCAATTTTTGCTCTCATTATTGTTGTTGTGGCAGTGGCCAGAAAGAGGTAAAAAGGAGCTGTAGCAGATGTCTCAAAGATGCAAATGTTAACAGGCCATGGTAAAGAGGAAGGGTTTGTTAAAGCATGGACATTGCACTTGAGGTATTTTCAAAGGGGCATAAAGAGTACTGTCAAAAACTCCTTGTCTTTTGTCTTGGTGGGAGCCACAAGAACCAGAGCTTGTGGAAGGGGGTGGGATGTGTGTGTGTAGAACGGGAGTGTGCGTAGCAGGGACTGAGGCAACAGAGAAATAAGTGACTTTGAGGAGTGGGGCTAGTGTTAGAAACTAGAAAACTACCAGGCTTGCTGCCACATGCCTGAGCTATGACTCTTTTATTTTCCCTGTTAAGGAATTGATGTAAAATCTCAGAAATTGGTAAGATTATATTCAGCCATGTTTACATACATGCAACAATATTTAAATCTTATTAAAGATTGGAAAGAATTAATAATGGACTGACTTCTATCAGAAGGCAGAGTTTGGATTTAAAAGTTGATGTTAACAGTCTCACTGTGGAGTTAGAAGGCTGGGTTACCTCCTGGTATTAGCACTTAAAGAGGTGTGAACTTGGTAACTCATTTCACCTCTGAAATGGTTTCATCGGCTGTGAAAAGAGGAAACTACCTACCTAACAAGTTGTTGTTGAGATTAAGATTATTCATAGCACCTGGAACACAGAGATGCATTTTCTATTTTGTGTAAATGGGAAAAGGTTGAAAAATTATGGTGATATATTTAAACAGTTAAGAGTGTTACCAAATATATTTGAATGTGCACTGACATCTATTACCTTAATGGACCTTAATATTCTCAATTAATATCAATGCTTTTAGTAACGGCAATTAATTTGCTGACATATTTTCCTCCCCTCACTGCATCTGTCAGCACCCTGCACACCCGGATGCTTTAAAATGTTATTTCTTGAGCACATTTTACTAACACCTAATCCTTAGCTTGCCGGACACTAATGGACAATTGGATTGACTTCCCTAAAGCACCCATCGCAACACCCAGGAAAGGCGCGCAACACTCCCCTGCGATAGTTCAACCTGTCTTTTCGATTAATTCTGCTAACCGAGCTCGTGTCCCCGCGAGAGAAAGCGTATTCCTCCTCACATTAAACAGAAGAGTCTCGATTCATTATTGGCGGTGCAAGAGGGCGACTCCAGCACCTGGGCAGCTAGGGACTTGGAACAGATCGGGACCTGCCTTCGGGAGGCCAGTGGGGTACCTCAGCAACGCTCCAGCCCTGGAAGTTTGCGAGTCCCCACTTGTAAAATCTAGAGTCACCTTGACCTTCCCGGTGAGGTGGGGAAAGTTAGTCCAGGAATGGAGGCGGGGTGAGTAAAACTAAAGACAGAGAACTTTCGCGAGCGAAACTCGCCGTCACGTTTTCCTGTTTTCGGCGTAGCTCAAGACCCAGAGAGTTTGAGGGTGGCAAGAGCAGGTGGCAGGACTCCGCCCACCACCGCGCTTCCCCGCCCTCAGCTCGCACGCTCCACTCCCTCCGTGAGGTCCCGCCTCTTAGGCGCGCGCGAAGAGTTGTCACGCCGTGCATTCTGGGAATTGTAGTCTTGGCGCCGGGAGACGCCTCAAGAGAAGCGACTTTGGCCTACATACCCCATAGTGCCGTGCGGCGCTGGCCGCTCCCGGATGTGTGCCTGGCGCCGGAAGAGAAGACGACCCCCCTCTCTCGGCCCGGCCATCTTGTGGGAAGAGCTGAAGCAGGCGCTCTTGGCTTGGCGCGGCCCGCTGCAATCCGTGGAGGAACGCGCCGGCGAGCCACCATCATGCCTGGGCACTTACAGGAAGGCTTCGGCTGCGTGGTCACCAACCGATTCGACCAGTTATTTGACGACGAATCGGACCCCTTTGAGGTGTTGAAGGCAGCAGAGAACAAGAAAAAAGAAGCCGGCGGGGGCGGCCTTGGGGGCTCTGGGGCCAAGAGCGCAGCTCAGGCCGCAGCCCAGACCAACTCCACCGCGGCAGGCAAACAGCTGCGTAAAGAGTCCCAGAAAGACCGCAAGAACCCGCTGCCCCCCAGCGTTGGCGTGGCTGACAAGAAAGAGGAGACGCAGCCGCCCGTGGCGCTTAAGAAAGAAGGTAAAGCTGTGGTAGAAGGTGGGGGAGACCCGGGATGGAGGGAAGGAGCGAGGGGACTTAAGGCTACCACTTGCCTCTGGACTTCCGAGGGTCCGCGGGAGAGTTTGCCTCCGATTTCCTCACGTTTTCACCCACACGACAAAAGCCAGGTCCCGCGAAGGTGCTGGGAGCGTGGTAGCCCCAAGTTGAAACCACCTGCAAGGATCCTGGAGCCACCCCCTTCCCGCCTCAATTCCTGAGCGGGGGAGCGTGCTCTAGAGATAAGCTGCTCCTCGAGCGTGTTCGCAATCCTGGGAGGCTGTTGCCTTCCCGCCGGATTCCTTGGCGGGCAAGCGCATGGACCGAGGTTCGGGGAGGCTGGCCACTCACTGAAGCTTTTGTAGTTACGGGGTAACAGCTTCTTCCTGCTCAGAGCTCTCCCTCGGCGTGCTGCTTTGAGGTGCGGTTGGCTTCTCTCCTGCCATCTTGTCCCACGATGGCGCGGAGTACCCCCACTGAAAAGCTGGGGGTCGGAGTTTGCACCTGAGCTAGTTCGAGGTTCTGTGGAGTGAGCTACTGTTTCAGGTGCCACATGTGCCTTATTGTCCCCCCTCATTACTTCAAATATTAAAGACTAACTTGCTAGAGTAAATTAAGCTTTTGAGAAGCTTACACTGTAGTAAGCAGAAGCGGGAATTCTGAACGAAGACTAGTTATTGCGGGAAATCCTGAGGCTCGTCCTCTCCCGACAACTCCCCGCCCTGCACTCAGTATTTCATGTGGTGGCCCGGCCTGGGCCTCGTGGTGAATTGAGTGCAGAGGCTGTCACAACTTTTGCCACAGCAGAGCTCTTTTGAGTGTAGCTTTTTCTCCACATGTGCGTGAAGCATGGTCGGGATTCATTGGCGGGTAATAGTTGCTTCCAGAGGTCACTGTAAACTTCACAGGATTGTCTTGAGGCTGATTTTTTGCATTTTCTTACTACTGTTTTGTCTTTTGTGGTGGACGAAAAAGCAGAACAGTTGAGGATAAAAAGTGTACGTGATCAGTAGCAAGTAGGTGTAGGATCCTAAGACTGGATCTTTAAAGTTGCCTTTTTATGTTGAAAGTTGAATTTAGCCTTTACTGCCACGTGCTCCTGAAAGAAGTTGTTTCTCATTGGTTTTCATTGAATTCCGTAGCATTCAACTAATTTTAAAAATCACAGCAATGGTGCTAGGTTTTGGTTTAGGATTTTTTTTTTTTAAATAAAGAACTTCTGTGATGCTTGGAATGAAGAACCTACGTGGTGAATAAAAAAAGAGTTCTTGTATTAAAATTACAGGTTGGGGAGAAGCTCAAGGTAGGAGTGTTGGAAAGCCCTGTATACATCGTTTAGACCAAATATCTGTTCAGGCATCTTAAATTTTAAAGCAACCTGTAGCACAGTTGAATAATTATTTAATTTCTGCGTTAAGGAACACAGGCCTGTGTTGTTTATGATTTTTGCTCAGTTTTACCTCCTTGATCTCACTAATCCAAAAAAGTGCATGAAAAACATTGAATCTAATGTATAAATCTAAAGTGTACCAGGTAGTTGGGTTTCACCCATTTTTAATGCTCAAAGCATGAAGCCTGGTTTAAACCCCTCAGTTGTTTTGATCATAAAGCCCATATTTGAGGTAAGCTTTTAACTTGGAACCTAGTATTTTAAGTTGCACAGGTGGGGAATTATTTCATAAATTTAGAACCAGGACAGAGTTCAACGTTCAGTACTCTACTCGGGAGAACTTCCATATTAGCTATCACCATCTTCTTCAGATCAGCAATACATAGCACTCTTAACCTTAAATTGCATAAAACATAAGCTTGTAAATATGGAAAAATGTTGAATGAGAAGGATTTCGTTTTCAGATTCTACTACCTGTCAGTCGATGTTCTGGGCATTGGAGACAGACAGACCTGGAAAAAGTCTCCCTACCTCTTGTAGTGGGAAGAATTGCTACCTGATTATGTGTTCTTTGCCTTTGGATATAGGTGCTGGCAAATACTAGACATACCTTAGATATATGTATTTAATATTATAGGAGTTTTGTAGCTTGTCTTTTGTCCATTTGAAGAATTTGAGAACTGACACCGCAGAACTTCACTAACAGTGTAGACCAAGGTGTTTTTTTAATTTTTTTATTCAAAGCCTGGAATCTACTGAAAATCAAGTGAGTTTGCAAGTGCAGGTAACTAGGTTAAGAGAAGCTTGAATTTTTAAATGTCAGTCATTGGGTGAATTTATTTAGTAAATTTTTTAGGCTCTGTAAGCATAATGAATATTGGGTGGGGAAGGAAGCCATTGTTCACGTTTGGGTGTGTTTGGCTTGGATATCATTATTATAAGGACTGGTTCCATAGCTCCACCCCAGTATACTATACCTGTGACAACATTTGTTTAAGATGCATTAAGATCTAACATTTGTGGTCTATCCTGAGAGTTTATGTGGCATGGACCTTAAAATTTCATTTATGAGTTTGATATTTACCATTTGACTTTAGTTAGAAGAAACTGAATGTGGGGTGCATCCTGGTGGTGGGTCACTTTCTTAGAATCATTGAATCAATTTAAGATCTTGTTATAAAACCAATTCCTCAGCCTTTTTTTTTTTTTTTTTTAACTTTGTCAGAAATTACGGTTTGGGAGTTAGAGCATACCTGAAATTTTCCAGTCATGAATTTATCTACTTATCCTTAAGGCCAGTAATGCATACTGGTTGCCTTTGCGGGCCTCAGACACTAGCAGGAAAAAAGTAATACAGGGGGAAATCAGTAAATGCTTCAGCCATTACTTAGTGCCACAAGTTTCTATTTCTTGAATACTGTTTTTAAAGGGGTGTGTGTGTGGTTTTTAAAGATTCTTTGGAAACAAAGATACGTGTTAAGGCAAAAAAAAAAAACTATCCATTTATAATAAAACGACTATTTCCTAGAGGTTGCATAGCAGTATTTTTTTTTTTTTTTTTTTTTACTGTGTGTGTGTATGGATATGGATGGATGCATATGTGACTACATATACAAAAACTAATTGAGGAAAACTTTTTTCTGGTTAATTGTTTGAAACTATGGAGATGTAATCCTCAATGCTCTTTCCCTTTCAGTTTTGTGATTTATAAAACTATCACTCTTTTTACTCTGCTGTAGTTTTATTCTCTCCAGATCATGTAAAATGGTGTGGTCTTCACTTTTTTTGAGGGCCCTTATCTGGTGCGTGTGTTGATTTGCTTGGGTATTATTAATGAATGGCTACTGGTGTTAATCTTTTTGGTATCTTTAAAGCCAAAATGTAGCATGCCTAAAATTTCTTAAAAGTTAGAATTTTAGATTAAGAGACTGTGGCATTTTGAAAAGAGGAATGATGGCTACCCAGATGACTTTCAAGTCAGTTACAGAGATTCCTTGGGGGAGGCATAATTTGGCAAACTAAATAGAAGTTTGAAACATTTATGGTCTCAGGTACTTTGTTACACTTTATAGAGATGCCCAGTTTTTGCCTTCTTCAGCAGCAAGTGCTAGTTACTGGATTGAAAGAATAGCAACTTTTTTTTTTTTGGTCTTTCAGTGGTCTGCCAATTTTTTTGTGTTGCAAAAAATAATTTGCTTATGCAGGTTATTTATCATTTCAGGAATAAGACGTGTTGGAAGAAGACCTGATCAACAGCTGCAGGGTGAAGGGAAAATAATTGACAGGAGACCAGAAAGGCGACCACCTCGTGAACGACGATTTGAAAAGCCACTTGAAGAAAAGGGTGAAGGAGGAGAATTTTCAGTTGATAGGCAAGATTTTTTTTTAATCTCTTAATGTTTTTGTCAGTTTAAGAGTCATATCTTAATACAAGGCTATAAGTTGGGCATAATTTGCCAGGTAGCAGTGTGGCTGGTTACATTTATCAGAGAAATATGAGTGTATTCATTGTTCTACTATGAACATTTTGGTAACAATTTTTAGTGTTCAGTCTTGGATTTCTGGTAATGAAACACTTCAGTTGAATCGATGGTCAGTTTCTTTTCCTTGGCATCCCTAAATGTTAGCAGGAAAGTTCTGTTGGGTAATTGTTTATAGCAAAACAGATTACTCATTATGCATGTTACATGTGTTTATTCACTCATTATGCATGTTAGATATGTTTAATTTAGAAGTGTATTGGTAAGGTGTAGTGGTTTTACTGGATTATAATATGAATAATCATGAAAAAAGTATAGGCACTAGTAGTAAAGTTTTAGGGAAAGCAAAAATAATTTTCTTGTTTTGGGGGAGCTTCCTAGTTCTGATTTTTTTTATGTGTTTAGAAGTAGACTGTTTTTGAATTTTCTAAAACGGGTGTTTAATTAGCCATTGAATTATAGCCAGTAAATATGTTTTTACATTTGAGCCTTTGGATGCATTCCCCCCCTTTTTTTCCCTGGAAACCTTGGAAGTATATGATATTTTTTATCTGTTGTAGACCGATTATTGACCGGCCTATCCGAGGCCGTGGTGGTCTTGGAAGAGGTCGAGGAGGCCGTGGACGTGGAATGGGCCGAGGAGATGGATTTGATTCTCGTGGCAAACGTGAATTTGATAGGCATAGTGGAAGTGATAGATCGTAAGTCTTATATAGGTTTTTATTATATTTTTACATGTGAATCTACTTCTTTAATAAAACAAAATTTGAATTTCTAGAATTAAAGAGTATTATGTTAACTCAGTTTTGTTAGTTCTTTTTCACATTACAGTGGCCTGAAGCATGAGGACAAACGTGGAGGTAGCGGATCTCACAACTGGGGAACTGTCAAAGATGAATTAACGTTGGTATTCTGATTTTTAAAAATAATATTTAAGATTTTATGCTTTATTAGAGTTTTATCCATAACTATTAAATTTTACTTGTTCCTAGGACAAGAACAGATGCTCTCATCTCAGAGCTACTTCCTTAAAATAGCTTGTTGGATATGTTTGAGTACAGCATGTCACATGACCAATTTTCTATATTTAAATAAATGTGATGTTAGTTTTTCTTTTCATATGGCTAATGTAACTTTTCCTGAAACCCTACATTTAAGTTATTTGGGTATTCTGATTTTCTGTCTTTAATAGTTCCTATTACAGCTCTTGACCCTTGTGGTCATTACAAAAATTTGATAGGCTGGTGAAGCTTTGTCTTAAAGCAAGCTACTCTGTCCTGCTACTTTCGGAATGAAGTACTTGAAATATAACTTGGATCAGTATGCATTTTTGAATTATTTTCTCTTGGACGTCTACTAGGAAGTAAATTTAGTAAGAAAAGACTCTTTGAATGTGAAGATTTTAAAATTGTATAAAGAATCCTTAAGCTACATGTAAATGGACCTAGATGATTTTCTTTTTCTTTTTTCCTTAGAGAGTCCCCAAAATACATTCAGAAACAAATATCTTATAATTGCAGTGACTTGGATCAATCAAATGTGACTGAGGAAACACCTGAAGGTGAAGAACATCCAGTTGCAGACACTGAAAATAAGTAAGTGGTTTTATGTACAGTGGTGATGCCACACACAGCATTGGAAGCAATCTGGGTTTCTACTGAGAACATACAGGTTTAATGCTATTATTTGATGGTTTTTAATAGGCTTGTAACCCAATTCCTCAAATAGTATCTATTTAGAAGAGTGTTTTATACATTCGTATATTAGGCTATAATGGTTTAAAAAATAGAAATGATTATTTTTATTTGAAATTATCATTGTCATCTTTGAAAAGATAAGGAAAATACATTATTTTGCTAATACCTGTTTACCTTAAGAACAAAAACTAACTATTTAACTTGAGAATGGAGAATAGGAATAAGATGTCCTGCATTTTACTTAGCTATATCTTATTTGGTAGTGAAGTTGTAATGAATAATCCTGGTGATGATAGCTGTCCAGAGACACTGAATAGGTGGGAACTGGAAGCTAAAGTTGGGGGTTTCTACAAATTTGACCAAATGGTTGTCAGAAGAGAGAGAATTTAGAACACATAGTTCAAAATACTTTGGACTCTTACTATATAAATTTTGTTTTGAGACAATTTTCTCTGAATTTTTCTTTTTCCATCAACATAGAATTGGAACATAGCCTTATTGGCTTATTTTAAAATGTATGAGGAGAGCAAGGGCCAGAATATGTTATTAATTCACTGGCTTTCTTAATCCTTTTCATTTTCAGAGTTTTTAGGTATAAGATTTGGTTTTGAAGTTTTCATTCAATGATGGAGGAATTATAAATATACAAGTTAACGCTGGTAGAAATAATTTAATGCCTTCCTTTAGTTTCCATCAACCCAAGCAGAAGTTACATGCCGGCCATTTCTTACAGTATTGTGGTTTAAAGTATTAAATTACCAATTATTTAGGGTTTGTAATTCTTAATCAGAGCTTATTTAAATCAGGGAGGGGATGCTTTTCTGCTTTTTCTCCAAGAATTGCTCCTATAGTGAACCACTATTGGTAATAACATATTCCATAGGTTTGTTGGAAGAAGGAATAACAATTGATTTACTATTAGATAAAAATACATGGTATTAAGTGATATGTTGAACTTGGGGTAATATGAAGTTAGAATTTTGAGTGCTAAACAATGAAATTATGATGGGCAACTGAAATGAACCTTAGAGTAACAGAAGTATTTCACAACGCCCAGCACAACTGTTCCTTTAATAAAAGAGCCTATGTTTAAATCACCTTAAGAGTGATTTGCAAAGATTATAACTGTTTATCAGAAGAAATGATGTATTGATAACATATTGCAAACAAATCCTTCTCTCAGGACCCAGGAATGAAATTGGGGATATTTGGGCTAAAGAAGATCAAGAGATGACATTAGAGCAGCCTCTAGTCTTAACTCCAGAGTAGGGGGAATCTGAATATAGCATTAAATCTTGCATGTGGAAATATAAATTTAAGAAGCACAGGCTGAACTTTGATTAACTCCCTTAATCCTTACAACAACCTTTGAAGGTAGGTGGTGTGGTTTCATGACCGGGTAAAGGTATGCCAAGTTCTATTCTTGGCTATGTCATGACTTGGGAATAACTAGGACCTTTTCTTGATCCTCCGTTTTCTCATTTGTAAAGTGACAGAGTTGGACTTGATACTGGATAGCCAAGATCTCACTAATTAAATGTAAACTTGGTATAGGCAGTTTTAAGATAGGATTTGTCAAACAGTGAGGAGTAGCATGGAGCAGAGATATTTGAGCTCTGAGGCTAACTGAATCACCTGCTATCTTTGGAAGGAAGCAGGTCTCCCAAAATAGCAAACAACTTGTTTGGTGACAATTGCAAGTTGAGATTAGACCAAAATAATGGATTCTTAGGCCCATGCTTTGTTTTTATAAAAAGGGAAAAGGATTGTATATAAGTTACATCCTGAGAATTGTATTTGGAAATAACTAATTTCATATTAAGTATTGAAACTGTGTTTTGTGGAGGGTTCCAATACTAGTGGAACCGCAGTTTCCTGTCCATATACAGGCTGGTTTGAAAATTTGGAGTATACAGGATTTTGGATTTGTGGGAACTTTGCTTTTAAAATTGTTTTGCCATTGAGTGTTGATAAAAGAGGAACAGTTCTTTCATATTCTAGAATATGAATTTTGGTTGTTCACAGGCATCCTAGATGACTGCCTTTATTTTTGTTATAAGTCCTATATTGTGGGAAATTATGGAAATTAAAAGTGCTTTAGGAGAAGCTAGGTTAAATATTTTAATCACATAAGGGTATGGTTTTAAAGCAGTATAGTTTTAAGAAATGTGTATTTTGGGTAAAGACAGTTCAAGGTTGTTATTACTGATAGTTGATTTCATAGTTTATGAAGTTGAATTGTATATTTCTCAGTTATCCATGCTTTGACTAATTGAATAAGCACTGAATTCCTAGCCTCCACCAAGTTATGTGTTAGCCATTGGGTGAGAGAAGACTGGGATCCTCTTGTCCTTGGATAATCTCTTAAAAGATTATCAATAAGCCAATATTAACTTCTTCCTTAGAATCATAAGTTATGATTTTATCAACCCCTTACCAGCTATAAAACAAATATATTTTCACAGGGAGAACGAAGTTGAAGAAGTAAAGGAAGAGGGTCCAAAAGAAATGACTTTGGATGAGTGGAAAGCTATTCAAAATAAGGACCGGGCAAAAGTAGAATTTAATATCCGAAAACCAAATGAAGGTGCTGATGGGCAGTGGAAGAAGGGATTTGTTCTTCATAAGTCAAAGAGTGAAGAGGTAAAATTAAGTTTTGTGGTGTTTGAAAATGTTCAAATGTGTATTGAATTATATTTATACTTACTGTTTTAAAATATCACATGGATAATCTTTATAAAAAATGAAAGCTTTACTTACATAGGATCATTTGGGGTAGATAAACTATTCAGAAAGGAAAATAAACTGCATTACCATATATTTCAAGAAAGGTAGTCCATCCACAGTATATTTAATGTGGTGGTTTTGTTGTTTTTTCTGGAAAGCAGTCAGTTGTATATAATACATTACTAGTATTTAAGGTAGGTCTTTCCAAAGTTGTGGTAGTATTTTTAAAAATCTTGCCTAACTGTGAATCATTTGAAAGATTTGCATTTTCATGTGGTTTAAGCTAAGAGTGGCTTCATCAGTATTCAATTTTTCAAACTCTTGCCTTTGTCATTTGTAAAGATCAAGACTCTTCAATAAATGATGCTATCCTTTCTGAGGACTGATGTCTTACAAGAACCAGCGAATTAATTTACTAATGAAAATATTTGAAAAAGACACGATGGTGGTTTTTGATTTGGTAACAGTCCCTGGGGCAGGTTGTTAGAGGAATGGCTCACTGCTACATCATTTAGGGCTTGTGCAAGTATGAGATTTTAGTCATAAAGTTAAATTGAAATGTTATTAAGGCAACCTGTAATAAAAAGATTCAATGAGCTATTGTATGTTAATTTTCTTAAATAGCTGTGACACAAACTTGGGACATTTTGAAATAAAATCCAGGTTGAAGAGACTTAAATATTCTAGGTTTATAGATGGTTTTTTTAAACAACATTGACTCCATAAAATAATATAAATGGGGACATTGCTTTAAGTGCCAAGTCCTGTAGGAAAAAAATATTTTGCTTCATTTGAATGCTTTTGCTTATTTTTTTGGTAATTCTTTCAGATAAAGTTGTGTATCTGGGTTAAACAAAGTATTCCTGATTAAAGAAACCATGAAAGTTCATCTTGGGGAGATTGTTAATTTGTACTAATGATTAAACTGCTTAGGTTAATATGAAAAAGATGTATTTAGGCACCTTTGACACAATTATCTGTAACTTTTTTGGGGTCTTGACAGAACTGTTTTCTCCAGAACAAGACACATTCACAAAATACTGATATATTTTACATAATTCATTAATTACCTTGAAGTCTCTTTATGCATTTTGTAGACATCAGGTTAGGTATCATAGTCTTACAATGAGCTTTTCAGAAATAATTATTATATAATAAGATATATGATGAGAAATTTTTGAAAATTAAAGTGTGAAATTGGTTATGAATAATTTTGAAACCAGGATATTTTTGTTACCAAGCCACTTTTATTTGTTTGGATTCATGTTGCCTTTGTGATGTGTTCACCTGTTTAGATCTGACCTTATTGGCATATATGGTTTTGTCTTTGAATATGTATAGGGCTTCAAGTTTGTTGTATATTTAAGTGCTTTCTCTTTACGTATCCTAATCCTCAAAACAAATGAGTAGTAGTTAGGGAAAATAAAAAACTTTAGAAACGGAAAACTGAATTAAGGTGTTAATTGACAGAGCTGAAGCCAGAGCTCTTATTTCCCGATTATCATTTCACTGCTCTAGGAAAAAAGAAAAAAAAACTTTGCAGATTTATTTGCTGCCTTTAAAGGGATGTTCCCTGAACATCCAGACTTCCTCTATATTACTGTAGTAAAGCCTTTGAGGTGTGTCAGTAGTATATCAATTAGGTTTTTTTTCTTCTGTGCTCTAGAAACTTAGAAAACGCTTCTAATTAATGAATTGGTATTGTTGCCTTGCAATAGCAAACGTTTAAAAATTAAACAATTAGTATATATAATTGATTTTAATTTGCTAGTGGTTTTGTGGATTTACATTTAAACATTAATTTAAAACTGCTGTTTTAAGAAGAACCTTCTGCTGCCTTTAAATTAGGTTGGCCTAGCACTGAGGAATGACAATTAATTTGGATATTAGATGATTAAAGGGTGAAAACGTAAGTACATAAGTACAAAATTTATTGGTACTTTCATGGATAGTTATTAACAGATGTAGCGTTACAAGTTTTAGAAAGAACAAAATCTTTATTCCTTCGGAAAAGGATTATACCAGTATTTAGAAAAACTAAAACATAAAGTAGTGTAAGAAAAGTTACCAACTAGAAGATTTTAAAACTTATTCATCACAAACATACAGGAAGAAATTAGGAATTAAGCAGTGTAAAACTGGGTTTTGTTTTGTTCAGAGTGGGGTGGTGTATGTTATATATAAATACAAAGGAGGATCTGGATTTCACAAACATGTTAACTTTAAGGTTACCGGTCTATAATTAAGGCTTGGATTTATTTGTGCTTGGCTTTTCAAGGTTCTCTGATGTAAAGTTTTGTTTCACTTGAATCTGTAGTTCTCCAATTTATAGGGAAGAACACAGAATAGTTGCATATGAACAGAAAAGCATTCTGAGAAGTTAATACGTGATTTTTTTTCTTTTTCTTTATTTTTTAAAGATTTATTTATTTGACAGAGACACAGCAAGAGAGGGAACACAAGCAGAGAGAGTGGGAGAGGGAGAAGCAGGCTTCCCGTGGAGCAGGGAGCCCGAGCGGGGCTTGATACCAGGACCCTAGGGTTTGTGACCTGAGCGGAAGGCAGACGCTTAACAACTGAGCTATCCAGGCGCCCCTATACAGATTTATTTTCCCAAGTAATACTTGGAAGAGTACAGAGCCAGGGTTTTCTTTATAACTTAAAAAGTGACTCATTATTTATCACCAGTAGAAACCTCAACGTGCCACGTATCCAAAAGTCTTCATCGGGTTCATACTGGAATCTAATCTGAAGGACATATTTAAAATGTACTTACCAGACTTAACTCCCAAAGATTATGATTTGGTAGATTTCAAATGGGGCCCAGCCACTTGAGTTGTTTGATTATATACCTTTAATTAAGACTTGCCAGTATCAACTGTTGTTTATTATAAAGTTAAAAGTGAAAGGGGTTCTTCCTCTAAGATCACTATAGCTGATCCCCAAGCCTTACATATTAACTGTAGTGGCATTGGCAGTTTTTATTATTTGTTGATATATTTGTTCACATGAAGTGCAGATTAGATTTTTGGTCCTTTTAAGAGAAAGTTCAATATTTAGAAATTTGCAGTGTTGCTTTCCTATTAATCACTCCATGGCCTGCTCTTAAATTTTTAGGCTCATGCTGAAGATTCGGTTATGGACCATCATTTCCGGAAGCCAGCAAATGATATAACGTCTCAGCTGGAGATCAATTTTGGAGACCTTGGCCGCCCAGGACGTGGTGGCAGGGGAGGACGAGGTGGCCGTGGGCGTGGTGGACGTCCAAACCGTGGCAGCAGAACTGACAAGGTAAGAATTTTTACTTTTTCAAGTAATTTGAGGACCTCTTTTCAAGTAATCAGCCCTAGCACTGATTTACAGTCCTTTTGGGGGTAGGATTAGAAGGGGAAAAAAGTAGGTATACTTTCAAGAACTTGAATTACATTTTAGGCTATATTTTTGTTTTAAAGCACTTAACTGAATAGCGCTGCTAGTAAAGTTGTATTATCACTGTTTATTGAGTACTTACTAGGTGCTGGTCATAGTGCTGTGCTGAGTATTTTATGTACTATTACATTTAATTCTTGTTACTACATTGACATCCCCATTTTATAGAGGAGGAAATTTAGGTACAGGGAACCAAGTTAACTCTTGGCTTTGGCTGAGGTCTAGTTCCTTTGCTTTGACTCTTTGCTACTTTTGTAGGTTTCAGTATAGCATTTGTGTCCATAATTGTGTGCTACTAACTGGATGATGATTGGCACTTTTTTTTCCTTGATTTTTTTTTCTTTTTTACTACAGTGTGAGAGCTGAGTTCATTTTGTCCTACTTTTATAATTTAATGCTTTGTACAATGTGTTTGACACAAAACCAGTTCTTAAATATTTTTATAGAAGCCCTGGTAATTGATACATTTGCACTATGATCTTTTTGATACCCAAGTATATGCTGTTAATGACTAGATATTATTTAAGTATTAGCAGTAACCTTTGGGTTAGGTTAGTTCATTGTCTCTTGTGGTCTGGCTAGGAAACAATGATGTCCTCCTGAATTCTCACCTGATACGCAAATTGGGGACCTACCTGCTTGATTGAGTCTGTCAATGTTTGATTATATAGTGGTGGCTTAAATCAGATTTTTATAGTTGCTGATAATAATGGGGTGATGATTTCTTTTTCTTCCTCCGAACATCAGGTTTTTTAAAAGGTCAGTGTTGTGTATATGGATCTTTCAATATGTTTTTGTTATTCTTTAAGTGTAAATAGCAGTTGGGTCCCTTTCTAGCACTGATGAATGAATCACGTAATAGGTTTCTTAGCTGGCTGAATTTCAAATTGATGCCATTTTTATTTAGGAAGTGAGGAGAATAATAGTAAAAAAGAATCCACATACATATCCCATGTGGATCTATTTATGTGATTTATTAGAAAACTAAACCCATGATGTTATTAAGGAATAGGTCTTGATAGACACTCAGGACAAGGCTCATTGCAAATAATTATAGTCCTGTTCTGATCCGTAACAGGAAAGCTTTGACACGTTTTTATTTAGTATTTTAGAGTTGTGTGTGTAAATGTAGACACTGGGAGTCCCAAGATTTGAGAATTGTTAATTTTGATTTGTTTCTTTTTCAGTCAAGTGCTTCTGCTCCTGATGTAGATGACCCTGAGGCATTCCCAGCTCTGGCTTAACTGGATGCCCTAAGACAACCCTGGTTCCTTTGTGGACCCTCCCATCTGAGGTTTTGCATGCTTAAGGATCCCAAACGACTTAAGAATTTAAAAAAAAAAAAAAAAAAAAAGACTGTCATTCATACCATTCACACCTAAAGACTGAATTTTATCTGTTTTGAAAATGAACTTCTCTCGCTACACAGAAGTAACAATATGGTAGTCAGTTTTGTATTTAGAAATGTATTGGTAGCAGGGATGTTTTCATAATTTTCAGAGATTATGCATTCTTCATGAATACTTTTGTATTGCTGCTTGCAAATATGCATTTCCAAACTTGAAATATAGGTGTGAACAGTGTGTACCAGTTTAAAGCTTTCACTTCATTTGTGTTTTTTAATTAAGGATTTAGATGTTCTCCCAATTACAAACTGGTTTTAAATATTGGACATGATATCAGTTTTAATACCTGCTTTGCATTTTCACACATGGTCAACTGGGTCATGTAAACTTTGATTTGTCAAATTTTATGCTGTGTGGAATACTAATACTACTTTATGTATTTTAACTTAGTTTTAATATTTTCATTTCTGGGGAAAACCTTTTTTCACTTCTCATGATAGCTGTTATATATGCTAAATCTTTATATACAGAAATATCAGTACTTGAACAAATTCAAAGCACATTGGTTTATTAACTCTTGCTCCTGCATGGTTCATTAGGTTCAAATTTATAATTGACTCACAATTTCAAGTATATTTACTTTTAAAATGTGTGACTTTCCCATTTTAAAAACCAGACTAGACACCTTATTGGTGGAAGTTTAAGCTACTTATTGTTGATACACATCATATCAAGTGAAGTAGTTTTATGGGTGTTGGGTTTTTTTCCCCTCCAAAGGGTGGGTGGAACAAATTGATTTGGCTACTGCGGAATATTTAAACTGTTGTGTAAAATAAGCGCCTGGCCACTCAGTATGATTTGTGTGTATGGAAGGTCCCAAATCAAAATTGTTCTTCCATAATCAACAACCCTTTAATCCTTCCTTTTTCTAAAGAAACCAAAGGGCACTGGTTTGTATGGTAAGATGGGGGAGTATGTTAATTTTTGGAATTTGGAAAGCAGACAGCTTTACTTTATAAGGTTGGAACAGCAGCACCGTCCATGAAATATAAACCAAAAATCTTACTGTTTCTGAATTTCCTATATTGCTGTTAATTTTGATTGATGACTGTTCCACAGAAAGTGATAAGTCTTTTACCTCTTCCTCCATTAGAAAATTAGGTTAATGGATTCCTTGAATGGGAGCATCACCACTTACTAAAACATACATGGAGAGAATAATCAACACAGATTTTCCAGGATCTTTTTTTTTTTTTTTAAATCTTATGCCACATTTATTAGTAAATAGGAAAGGAATTTTCATGTATAGTTTCAAAGATCTTTTTTCACTCAATATTTTCTACCTGTGTATGGTAATGTCCAGTTTTGAAATATTGAAGATCTTAAATCATAAAATGTCTTCTATTTAGCTGATTCATTCTCCCGTATACTTCTAAAAGAGAAATTGTACAGTACAAGAGTTATTCATTTGGGTTAGATTTATTAATCTAGTTACCTGCTAGTTTGACATCTTAAGGAGGTAATTGGTTTTTAATGATGGATAAACTTTTGTGCTGGTGTTTTGGATCTTATGATGCTGAGCATGTTCTGCACTGGTGCTAATGTCTAATATAATTTTATATTTACAAACATACCTGCTACCCAGAGGCAAGTATTAATTTAGTCCATATGGACTATTGACCCCTCTTGAGATTGCAACATACACACTCCGGAAATCATTGTGGTTAGACTTTCAAGTATCTTGTTTCCGAACATGTAACATGTTTATATAAACCTTGATTTTTAGCGACATAGAGAAAACACCTATTAAAAACACTTCACAAGTTCTACTTAGTGTCAGCTGTTGCTGGCATTCTGTCACTAGAGAATACAGCAATATCTGGTATGTTGCAAGCTTTCAAGATAGCCTGAACTTTAAAAAGTTGGTCCATTAGTTGTATCTGATGGATGTAAATTTGCCTCCTAGTTCACTTTTGTGTCAAGAGCTAAAACTGTGAACCTAACTTTCTCTTACTGGTGGGTAATAACTGAAAATAAAGATTTTATTTTCATGCTCACTTCTTAAAAGTAATGAAAACAATCAAATAGGAGCCCATTTATCGTTATGTGTTTTCTGACCTGTGTGTGCACCCCCAAGATAATGTTCGTATTTCATTTTTCCCCCTTAGATTTAGATTTTGTGTATGTGGGGTTTTTGTTAAATCAGGACATTGGATCACATTTGGAAGGGATGAAACCTACTACAATTAGAAAGTTGAATTTTTAACTTACAAAATGAATTTCAAGGACTGACATAGCAGTTGGCATTTCTCTTAGCAAATCACATTTTGAGCCTGAAGGTTAATCATACTGAATGCCACTCTTTTTTAAACCAATGATATAATACTAAAAAAATCCCTTAATACAGATCTCTAAATAATAGTGGTGGCTGATTGAATGTTTTAGTGAACATTTATCTTGATGCTTTTACAAGGGAATAATGCCAGAGTTGATGGCATTTTCAGCTTGCATTGAAATAATTGGAATCTAGTTTCTTTTTTAGTTAAATAGTTTTTGGAGACCTGTGTGGAATTAGGAAAGATTTTAAAATGTGCAGTAGGTATTATATATCTAGTTAATTTACTCAGTTTTATTTAAACATGGAAGCAAGACACATCATCTCCAGGGTTGTAAATATATTTGGGGCTTATTTCTAGATATGGGTTTGGAGGCAGAATATTAAGTACTTATTCTGCTTTTATTACTTTTCTAAATGCTAGAGGTCATTGCACTGAAATAGAAAAATTTTATTGTGCCATTAGGGAGTTGCATACAAAGTCTAAATATGTATTGGATATTTAAAACACATCTTTAAGAGCACTAGTATTATGTGGAAGGAACCAAGTATTAAAAGGTTAAAACAAGTGTGAAGCTGCTGGAACCTGAATGATACAGACTTCAAGGTAAGATTATATAAGGTATATTAATGGCCATCTGTCCCAACTTTGAAGTAACTGGTATGCAAATTTTGGGCTGTCTGGTACATTTAAGTTGTACTTTCTAAAGAAAGTAAATTAGTACTTAGATTTTAACCTATACGTTTGTAATTTTGAAATTAACCTATGTTTAGCAAGTCTAATGCTGCCACATCTCCAAATTAACTGGAGAAAGCCCAGAGTGTGATTAGTGGTACACTTTACAGAATATTTAGTGACAAGTTGTAAAATGATCTCTTAACAGATTTTCAGACCTAGTAATTAGTGAACTAGTTTATTGATGTGATCTGCAAAATTGTCAAAAGTTTTAGCATGAAGATTATATTGACTTGGCAGCTTTTAGAAATTTGGGTGGTTTCTTTGCTCAGCCTAGGTTTACCTTGGATGTGTTCTCATTGAAAAATCCCACTTGATTTTTAGGTTAAATAGAGATGTATGAGGACTAAAGCTTGTTTCGGGCTGAGAGGAATTCACTAAACCAAAGAATCTAAAGAAAAATTTTAACTAAAGGATGAGAGGCTTAATTTCAGAAAATGATTAGGATGTAGAGATACATCTTGAAACTATCAAGATTTAGGCCTCAGGAAGATAGCATTGGAAATGAGTATTGTTTAAGTTCTATATCTAAGCTAGGAGTCCCCAAACTTCAGCCTTTGGCCTGCTTTTGTAAACCTCATGAGCTAAGAATACTTCTACATTTTTAAAGGGTTAAAAGCTATTTGTGTAGCCCACAAATCTTAAAAATCTGTCCCTTTGTAGAAAGTATTTGCTGACTCCTGATCTATCATTCCCAGGTCAACATATAATGAGTTCTTTTAAGTGAAGGTTTAGTTCTAGGTACAAATTAAATCATCCTACCCCATGGGAAGTTGTAAAGTTAGAAGTGTATTAAAGCAAGTTACCTCTTAACTTCTATAATCAAAATAAGGGCAAGATACCTGGTAGCCTCTAGTAAAGATGGTCATGTTTTAAAAAAGGTTATATAACTTGTAACTTAAATATTATCTCCTGAAAGCTGGGAGAGTATAAATTTGCTGTAAGAGTAAGTAAGCCTAATGCCATGATTAACAGTTTAATGTTTTATGTTCAGTGCTAGTTTTTGTCAGTGCTATACTCCTATTCTAATTGGTTTTTCCCATGAGGTGAGAGTTGGGAACATTTTGTATAGGTGAGAAACGTCTTTTAATTAACTCCATAGGTTGAGTTGGAGTGTGAATCACTGGCTTCTTGATGACTGCATTTCTCAGAGCTTACTCAGGAAAATACTCACTTGGGCAGAATTTAGATTTTGTGCCATTGATTACCTCATAAATAGTCGATTGTGCATTTCTAAATGGAAACAAAAGATGAAAAGTGACCCATACAGGTTAGGAAATTACCAAATTATGTTTTTGTTTGAGGTGTCAATTATGTAGGTACTTGAATGTTTTAAATTAGTGAACATTGTCCCTTTTGCTGCCTATTTGGCAGGGTGTAATAGTTCCTAGTGTGCTTGTATGTATGCTAAGCTTTGTGCTTGGAAGACCTGTAAAAGATAACTGGTGATAACTAGTATCTGATAATTCTGATGGATTTCTTAAGCCTCTTTGGATGACTGATACAGGTGTTGAGAGAGTTGATGTTACCTGATCCTGGCTTTATTTCTTAAATAGCTGCATAAAGTATCACTGGTATGGAAATATGGAGAGCAAAGGGCTAGTTAATATTCAGGGTTTTGATATATTTGGTGAACTGAGTACTGAAAATGGACAGTATTGATTACCCTATATTACCTTCAATTGCAGTTGTAGCTGATCATTTATGTCTTAAAGATTTTAGGACTTAGAGCTGTCTTAATTTGAAGAAATAGCCCTGGTTTTCATCTGCCTAGCATGAAGATTCTTTAAAAAGTGGTCCACCTGAATGTGGATCTTGACATTTGACTGCATAGGGTTTTGTTACTTTCAGCCTAAAATTTATTAGCTGATGGATAATGTCAAAAACTTTGTTTTGGGAACTTGTTGAATTCTTTAATACCTTGGATGTAATAATCCATAGTGAAATGTTGCTTTGTTTGGCAGCCACACTCAAAGAGTGCTCAGACTGCCAGAGGTAGTTGTGTAAAACAGAGCAAAGAAGATGGTAGTTGTCACCACCCCCCGCCAACTTCCAGTTTCATGGCTGAAAATATTTAGGCTTTCATTGGTGAATTGAACTAAACAGATACTTTGCTGTCTAGAGAGAGAGAGTTTGTCTTTTACCTAGAAATTCTGAGTTTCCAGTGAGGCTTCCACGCTTTTTTTTTTTCCCCAGTAAAGGAAAAACTTTTCCAAATGACAGATAGTTTTGTTTCAGCACGATTTTATGTAGTTACCAAGGTTTTTACCTAAGTACTAAAGTCTAAAGAGCTGAAGAGTGCATGAGAAGAATGGATTGGATAAAGGTACTTTTAAGACCTGTTACTGGTCACTAGGAAGGAAATCAGCATAATTTAGCAGATATATTTTATTCATAATGGTATCCCTTGAAGATTGAGTGGCATTTAGTCACTGTATTAACAAAACCCATAAATCGAAGTTTTTAACAATTAGACTGAACCCCTCCCCCCACACACATAGACACTTCTTGGGTCATGGTAGAACTCTGGAAGTCATGTTGACTGAAGTAGAGAAGGGATTTGGATGCTGTGTAATGCTAAGTGAATTAATCTGAGAAGACGTTCCCTTCAGGAGAAAATGGGCAAGATTTATCAAGAGTAAATTGCCAATATATTGAAGAACTGAAATAACAAAGCACCTCCAGTTAAAAGGAGGGCATGGATGTTCCCCTTTTTTTCAGGATCATCAGTCTTGCTACTTAAGAGTTATTAGACTTTAAAAATAACTGCAGATTTTTAGAGGAAAGAAATCTGAATTGATTTGAAGATTGCATCTGTAGCTGGAGAAATGACTTACTGACTTAATTATCCCTGCAAGTTATTTTAGTCTGTTGCAAGCAGGTCCAAAGGTGTTCTGTAAATGTCTTTGCAGCTGCTTTGAAATCTACCCTGCATAGACCAGGAGGGGTAAACTAAAGGGGGTGTATAGGAATGCAAAGTAATCTAGTCATAATGAAGTTGTAGTACAAGTAGGAGAAAACCTTTTTAAAAGTATTTTATGCAATGTTGTGGAAAGATAGCAAGTGATCTTTTTACTCTCTGTGATGGAATAATGGAAGATTTCTGTTACTAAATGAAATCTTGCGACACCCTATTTTCAACCTTGAGAGTTTTTGTTTGGGAAGGATTGGGGATGGGAGTCTCCAGGCTCCTTGGCTTAGGT